CTTCTAGTGGGTAACCTATTTAAATGGGCTTGAAGTAGATAGAGCGAATCCAATGCATGCAATCCGCTCGCAACCAATGTTATTTCTCAAGAGGGTCTTGAACCGTGGTCGCCTGCTCTTTCTGCTGGGTTTGTGATTTATTTCCCGGTAAAAATACCAAACAAAGCACCTGTTTTGCCCAGATCTTAATTTAAGGATTTCCTGTACAAATGAAACGTTCATTACAGGTTTCTTGAAGAAATACGTGTCCTATGCGAGGTCTCATTGCGGTCCTCGGTTAAATCCGCAGGCTAGCGAGAAACTCGCAAGCAACTATGTCCGAATGCGTAACCCGCCAATCGATGCTGATCATATTGGTTAGTTTTTGGAACTTTCTCGTGAAAACCTCCTCAACGTTACCCTTTTCAGTGATGAGCAAAAAGACACCAAAGTCGTCGATTTCAATTACCGTCCGTCAGCTTGAGGCCGTGATTAGAATGAGCGAAAGCTTGGCAAAAATGGAATTGCAGCCGTTTGCAGTTGACAAGCATGTGGATGAGGCCCTCCGCCTATTCCGTGTGTCCACCGTTGAAGCAGCAGCGACCGGACATCTTGCAGGTTAATTCTATCCTTTCAGATATTTGAAAAAAGTTCGCTAAATTTATCAATTCGGTACAGGTATCGAGGGATTCACGTCTGATGCCGACCAGGAATCAATGGGAAGGATAGAAGCACAAATGAAGAAACGCTTCTCCGTTGGAACACATGTTTCGGAACTTGTCATAGTTCAAGATTTTGTCTTGCGCCAACACTACAATGAAACTTTGGTTAAACAGGTGACGATATTTTAGTTTAAAATGAGGGTGTCTTCTCGTGAGAAGGTCAAATCCCTCACACTTCTGGTCACATATTACCTTCATTGATTTCAGGTAATATTGAACATGGTCAGACGGGGTGATCTACAGTACAAGATGCAACGAAAAATGCTCTATCGTGTTCGTTAAAATCCATCAAAATTCTTCTGTATCGGTTGTTAAATTTTTCATTTTGCATGCTGTCATACAGACATGTACACATAAGATCTCTCCGAATCCTGAGTGTTGCCTTTTGATTTTGTAGATAAAAGGCTTATTTTATCGAGATTTTGTTTTAATCTACGAAGAAGGGCCTATAGTGACTGTGAATTGTGTAAGGTTGGCGACCTAAAATGGCACAACAGTACCAGCGGCGAGTGCTTCCTTTCTCCGATAGTGTTCATTTGCAGTCGTGTTTGTACCGTTCCTACCTCGGCTGCCCCCTACAAATCTGTTGGTAAAACCATACCATGCACGGACCATTGGGACGTCCCTAATCTCGCAATAAAGAAGTTTTCATCCTAAAATGTCCATGTCGTTACTGGGGAGATTGCAGAAAGTGAGCAACTTACAGAACATGGGATTACGCCTTAGAAAAGGGAGATTCTGGGGGAACACTGAGCAACCATTGTTCTCCCTGGCGTTTCTCCCTCTCGTGCTCAG